CTTGAGAAGAAGTTCCCCACATGAGTGGGTTGCCTCCTCTGGGACTTCCCCAAGGTATTCCAGAGAACTGGAATCAAACTGGACCTTAGCCAGGTCTGCCTGGCATGTGACTACCATGCCTGCCTGGTCACTGGTCCAGGACTTCAGCCCCTCACTTGCTAAGTACCATCTCTATCCCCAACCTACTCCATCAGGACCTGCACCTTTGTGCTCCCAGGTGGTAGATGATGACAGGAAGGGGCTCTGGCAAAACAGAGAACAGGCCTCTCTGCTATGAGGCATGAAGTGGGTTTCAGCCCACCCCTGCTACACAGCTCTGACATGCACCTCATTTGGGGGGATTTATGAAAGCTGCTGCAGTCAGGAAATACTCCTCTCCTCTCCTACTTTCTTGCCTTTCTCTCTGTCACCACATCAGTGTGGCTTAACACAAACCAAGCAGAATCTGAACATCTGACCCCTGGCACATGACAAGCCTCTCTAGGGACTCCCATTCTGAGGAAGCTCTGTACCACTCGGGCTTCTCGCCTTGGAGGACACACCCTTTTCAAAGCAGAAGGTGACATTTCTCTAGTGCACATGTAGAGGCCTTTTTAAATTTTCCATAAAGGCTCCCTATCAGTGCCTTGGGGAAACCCAGAGCCGACCAACAAAAGGCAAACCTGCTCACCAGAAAGTATGGTTCCTGTTCGTGCTGGTTTGGCCACTTCTCGGGGTGGGTACATGAGGCCACGGGAAAGGCAATTGATAAATGGACATTGAGGGAAGAGAGGGGCTACCACAATGTTGATGGTGATGTTCCAGTTACACATGTCACTTGTTACTAATGTTTGTCCTAGAGGACTGAGCAGTTAAGTGGAAAGGCCACTGTGAGCTGATGTGATCTCCTTGGATCAAACTGGGCAAACGAGCAAATGGTGTGATTAGCATTGTTTCCAAAAGCTGTCCCAAACTATGTTATCCCTAGAATAAATTGTTAACTCTAAAAAAAAAAAAAATCAAAGCCCTCCACTCCATTCCCACCTAGTTTTCTTAAACAGGCCTTTGTACAAAGGATGTGATCAGATAGGATCCCATCCAAAAAGTCTCTTCTATTAAACCCACCTCTAAATAAAGTCAATACCACACTCAATTAGAATATCGAGCTGCTGAGTACTTTCAGTCACCTTCTAAAACAGCTCTTTTGACACAGACTCTAATAACTGAACTAGAAGCTTCAGGAACTACTAATTGTTTATGATCAGCTGTTTGCATAGATATCTATAGCCAAAATAAACCCAAACTTGCAGATGTTCAAATGGGTACTGGCAATTATTTCCCCCTGATGGAAAGAGACACAGACATAGCACTTACAATCTTTAGCCAGATGTTTATTTAGGTGGTTTAGTCTAAGCTGTACAGTATAATACTAATTTTGATACTAGCTGAAATAATTATACCCCATTTTTGTAGTCACAGGCCTCAAAATCACTAGTGGAAGTAGGAGAACAAGAGAGCAAAGTGTTAAGATCTCTCTGCATGATGAAATGCAGCCAGTTTGCCACATGATTCCAAGCACTTGGCAGTCTCGATGAGCCTGAGGCCTAAGGAGACCCTGCTAGGTCCTAAGAAGGGAACGATGAACATGTTCAAGCCTCCAGTGATAAGCCAAAGGCAGTTTTTCTTTATTTTCTTTCTCAGTTTCTTCCTTTTCTGGGCAATAAAAAGGAAAGGGAAGAGGAACTTCCCTCTGAAGTCTTGGTGATTTCTTGTTAAGTACATATATAAATACAAACATGTTGAAAGCACATTCTTAATAAAATTATTAATAACTCAGGGTCAGGATGGGAGGAGTCATCTAGTGTGGGATCCCAGAGTTTGATTCTTAGTGTGTTCCCTATTTTTATGACTAGATGCTGGTGTGCAGAGCAGCTTTCGTGACCAGCTCTGGTTGTGTAACACGAAATGTGTTTCCCTGGGTGCCCAAATACCTGAGCTCAACACACCTTTGATGTTGCAGATGTGACTCCCTTGAAGGTTAAGGATTTCTCTAAAAGAAAATTTAAAAATAAAACACAGCTGTGTACATGCACATACACACACATGCATACCAACCACTAGAAATTATAGGTTGTATCTATGTACGAATAACATGAAATAGCCCCAGAAGATGGAAGTGGGGTTCCCTGCTGAGACAGAAAAAATCAGCGCCCAATAAATTTAAAAAGCTACTAGTGGGAAATCATCCTCAGGGGAAAGAATAAATGCTGTTGAGGACACGTCAGGACACCTGAGGTTAATGAAGATACTCTGAAAAACATTTTTGAAGTCAAAGAATTCTCTTGGGCAGAGAGAATATATGAACAGGGTAGTCTGTCTATGACCCAAGAAAGGTAACTTTAGAGAGCAAGCATGAGCCTTGCTTAGCCCAGGGAAAAACTGGAGGATGGTAGGGTGTGCTGTGAAAACAACATATGGAACATCCCCCCTGCCCAAGACTTTCAGCTTCATGTCCATGTTCACAGGACAATACCTAATGACTAATCTAGCCTCCCTAAAATCTTTTTAACTAATTCAAAAGATATTTTACTTTATTTCATATTTATTCAGATATAATTGACACACAACATTGTGTAAGTTTAAGGTATACAATATGTTGACTTCCAAAATTTTGATAATGAAAGAGAGGTAGCCTGGCTAGGGGATAAAATTAACCTTCATAAAGCTAATGTTTCACCTTCCACAATAAATTACGAAATTGGACATTTGAATTCTACCTTGCCATGAGTCTGGCTCCTGGGAGTCTGTTCTGAGTGCATGGATAAACTTGAAGCTTGGCCATACCCAGGATTGGCGGCCCTAGGTCTGGCAGTCCCCTTAAATCTAACCTTGACATCGCAGAGCTCACACACCACTATAATAGAGCAGGAAGATGCATGAACCATGGAAGGAACCATGGCGTTAGAAGCAAGATTCCAGATAGCATCAAGGCCACTCCTACACATTCTGTCTGGCATCAAGAGTACTTGCTTCTCTCTCTCCAGCCTTCTTTAATTCCTCCCTGGCCCTTCTTCATCTCCACACTGTGACCTTGTTCAGGGTGCCATCCTCTGTCACTTGGATGGCTATAACAGCTGCCTCCTGATTAGTCCCCAGTGTGGACCCGCACATTGGCCCCCATTCTCCACTCGCATAGCAATCATGGTGCTTGCTTGCCTAGCACATTCAGCGAGCAACAGTCTCCCTGCCCCAACTCTCCCCCACTCCTCCCACCATGCACACACACCCCTATCTACAGAATGGCATCCACACTGCTTACAAAGCTCCATACTTGGGAATCATACCTGCAGGAAGCTGGCAGGGCAACTGACCTCTGAGCTTGGTTAGCTACAAGAGCTGGTATATGAAGTAAACCAGTTACTGTACAGCAGGTACTAAGTAAATAATAAACAGCTGTGATAATAACAACTTAGATGACAGAGCCTTTGCTTGTGTCTCCATCAGCTTTGTCGGCACCACTTGCCATCGCTGCCTACCCCTGCTGCTTGCTCTAGTCAGTCACATGGTGCTCGCTCGTGCTACCAGGCTAATACAAGTTCTGGGCCTCTGCTTGGACTCCCCTTCTTCACACTGTGACCAGCTAGTTCCAGAACTTATGCTTCATGTGTCACATTAGGTATCACTTTTTCTGAGCTGCCTTTCTGGAACACCACATCCCTCACCCCAAAACTGGAGTAGTATTTCTTCATTTCCTTCCCTACAAATAACACCAGGAACACCTATACCGTTCCTTATGACTCACTGTGTAATTATCAATTTTCCTAACTGCCAATCCCACCAAGTGTTTCTGAAAATCAGGAGTGTATCTGTGCATCCTGCCTGAATCCCACAGCACCTGCTGTGATGAATATAAAGTAAAGGTAGTGAGTACAAGTGAATGAGCAAATAACTGAATGAGGTAGAGGTAGGTGCAGGTGGCCCACTTAAGTCTCCTCCACTGTTGGCCATGACTCTCAGTTCCAGGCTAGAAAGGATGTGTGCAAAAAAATCACAGAAAAATTACCCAAAGAAAACTTCCATGACCACGTCATCTGACAAACCAAGGCCCCAGAGCAGCAGGATTGTTCCATTCTCCACCTCCAGTGTGACCCCAAACACCTGGTATGGTCATGGACAGAGAAGGAGCTTCTATCTCTAACATCTAAGCATGGTCAATACTATCTTAACAGAAATGTCTTGGGCTTCTAGCTCTGGCACATGGGAGTATTCAGAGGTGCCTACAACTGGATTACCTGTGCTATACCCTGGCAAGCCTGCTGAGTCAGAATAAGCATTTTAATGCCCAAAACTGATCAGTGCATATCATCTCACGGCCATCAAGGCCTGTTGTCAGCAGAGGGAGGGTCCTCTTCACCCCAACACAGCTCCCAGCTCCTCCCCTGAGCCCCTTGGCAGGAGCTTCCAGGTATTAGAAACAGAAACTTAGAACACATGGCAAGCCTGCCACCTACAGTCAAAGGGCCCATGTATACCTGCCTTCAGTTCAAGCCAAACTTATCTTTGAAATAAAAAGTTAAATTTCTGTCCCTCCCTCTACCCCTTCTTTAGACAAGGAAAATTTAGGAAATTGACTTAAATTACTCTTTGAGCCAGTTTGTGTTTTTTCAAATTAAAAGCTGAATATACAATCAGAATAACTTCATTCAACAATGTGCAGCAGATGTTCACGGAGTGCCTGGGCTGCGTTACCTGTGGTAAATGCCGTAGTTCCAGGGGTGCCAGCTATTCAGTTCCCACGCTGTGCAGGGGAAACATAACTCCAATATCTGAATTTCTTTCTGTTTAATTTCTCTCACTTTCCTCGGGTCAGCTGCACTACCTTCTAGAGGAAAAGAGTAGCCTCTAAAATAAAACCAGTATGATCGCTGGAGGAGCAGACTCTGCAGCTGCTTCATGACCTTCATAGGAAGAAACATGAGGTTCGACATCCACACCTCAGCTAAGGAAGAATGAATTGCACATGAAGTTAAATGTGGCTAAGTTGCCCTTTATTAACAAAAATGTGTAGCTTTTGGTAAATGCCACCACGGAGAACACAAACCATAGATAAAACACACACCAAGAGGTATATCCCAAGCTGGGGAATTTAAGAACACATGAGCAGAGTTCACACAGCACAATCATCACAAGAAGCAATCGTGATCACTAGGCAGCAACCACAACAGTAGAGCAGGGCCCTGAGACTGCTTTAAAGGCATTGAAGTTAAAGTTAAAGAAATAGTTGCAGTTGAGAAATTAAGGTAAAAATATACTCTCTTGCTAAAGAGTATAACAACACGATTATACATGTATTTAGTTTAAAATGAAAAACAAACAAATTTACAAATTACATCTGGATACTTAAAAATAAACTTTAGGTTGCTTTTCTTTTTGGCAGCACCAGACTAAACTCTGTGGCTTTGCAATATTTCAGAAACTTCAGGGACATTACAGTCTTCTGAGAAAGGCCCAGTACTTCAGAATTCCTAGTGTGGCTGTGGAAAAAGAACATTACTGGCAACAAATATTAAAAATATATTTTGATGTTCATAAATGTACACACATATTTAAGCATTCAAGCTGATATCCTAAATACTCTTTCAGTTAACATATATACATTTCTTTTTGATTGAAGGGAAAAAATGTACTTCATAGGCAAATTGTTTCAGCTGTAGATGGATAATTCTATGGTCATGTTTCCCTTTTTCATTGTGTATCTAGGGCCCGTATGAGTGTGTAGAGTCAGGTGACTTCATTCTCCCTGTTCCCCAAAGGGCTCTCCTGTGACATATCCTATAACTGCATGAGGAAACTGCTCTTTTTATTCAGGGGTTCTTTCTATATGTAGAATCAGAGAAATGGATTGCAATATCTTCTTAGGGAGAAACCGAGTATATTTTTTTCATCTCTTATGGTTCTGCATGCTTAAACAATCTGAGCTGGTATAAAGGACTGGATCACAGAGTTGCTCACAGCATACAAAGATGCCTGCTGCCCTAAGCTGCAAACTATAGATGCTCTCAGGCCTGTTGGCCCAGGCATAAATGTGAAATTTTATCCACGAGAAAGCATTATTGGAGCCCAAATCAGAAACTTTAAATAGCTCAATGATACTGATGCTTTTCTCTTTGGTTTAAAAGCAGTTATGACCAAACATTTTCAACTAAGAGGCAGACTTGATTGGAATAACAAAAAACACCTTGTCAGAAAATATTTAATGAGGTAGCTGAGATCAAATATCAAATCCACAGCATATACAAAGGTGCTTAATATGTGCTCAGGCATTTTTAAATGTATTTTTTAAATGCAAACTGCTAGAGTGCCTAATAAGTGCTCTTTCTTCCTAATTCCTAAGGGTGCATGCAAATCTTGAGAAGTGAGAAGAGACCCCTTGAAGAGTGAGAACAGCAAGAGGTTAGGAGTTAAGTGAAGCTGGAAGGAGAAAGGAAGGGTGCTCTGGGCACACAGCTTTGGCTGAAGTGGTAGTGCTCCCCCATGGAACTAAAATGTAGTCAGTACCACAGAAAACACACTTCAAATAGAACTCTGGGACAGGATGGGCTGAAAACCCAGCCTTGACCTGAGGCAGCAGGGAGCCAAGGCCTGGGGCACTTTCATTAAGGTAGAGGCAATGCTCAGAGCACCAACCCCACCACCTTCCAAAACCCTGCAACTACCCTCAGGAAGGAGTCTGGGCCTCCTGCTGCCCTGGGTTCTGGAGGAGGCTTCTGTTTTCAGCTGCTCAGCCCCCTGAGTCCTCCTCCCTGTGTACTCACAGGCACAGGCTGCTTCTGAATGAGCAGCTTTTCAGATGTCAACTTTAAAGCCTTCCATGTGGAGTCCTGGACAAAGGGAAATGTGGAGACACCAATCCTGGCAGTGTGGATTTTGTCTTTTCCAGCACTGTTCACACATTCACACATGCACAGACACATTCGCACAGAGGTGCGCGGCAGTATGGGCAATAGGGCAGCATCCAGGCAGTGCAGCGGGCTTTGGCTAGGCAGGAGTGGGCCGAGTAGAGGGGCCTGAAGCAGGGCTGGGTGGGGTCCTGAGAAGAAGCCTGGATCCACCTTCTTCACCACCCTCCCTTTCCTGTCCTCTGAGGTGGCAGCCAGCACACCAGGAGGCCCAGCGGAAAGGCAGGCACCAGGTTGCAGTGTTAGGTCTCTGTAGTATAGTTGCTGTAGGCCAAAGGAGGCAGGGCCTGAAAGCTGCTCCCCCTCCATGCACCAGGCTGGGACTCCATGTGCCCTTGCTCTTTATATTTACCCAGAATGTTTTTGGCTTCTTCCGTATCCCGCAAAGGGCTCTCTCCATATTCTTCCTTCAGCCACTGCCGGTACTAGAGAAGTTGAAAACAAAACTCAAAATGTCACACACACACTTGCATCCATGTAGACTTTAACCTATTAATGGTACAGATTTTGCCACATGTAAACTGGGAAATAAATGAGCATTGAGCAGTCATAGCTCTGTGGTTGGCCAGTCAGTGTCAAGCGAGAGAAATCGCTGCTTCTTCAACATTTTGGCCTGAGGACACGAAAACAAATCAAACCAAGAAAATGACATTTGACCCAAAGGCAAAGAAACAGAAGCTGACATGGGGCCTACTGAAGATGGTAAAGGGCAATGTCCTGTGGCCGCAGTTGGTGAACAAGGGATCAGTGATGACTTTGATGGGGATGCATGTGGGGCATCCTTGGACCAGATGCCCTCTGCGGGCCTTTCCAATTTCAAATTCCATGCTTCTAGGAGTGTACAGGAAGACTGAAGCATCTTCCCAGGGGCTAATGCCTCCATCATCGAAGGCCCCTGAGCATGGTTACCTGATGGACTTCATGCTTCTCAAATTCCTGTAGCTGTCTCTGGAAGCCCAGGTTGGGGTTGGCACATGACCTCCCCGCACGCACAGTGTGCAGGGCATCTTCCCAGCCAAAGTCAGTGACGGTCATGATGTATGCGATCACCAGAGTCACACTCCTGGAGACACCGGCCAGGCTGTAGGGCCAAGAGAACGCCACATGGGCAGGGGAGGTTTAGGGTCCACAAGTCTACTTCCTGATCCATTTGGAGCAAGAGATTCTGTAGACCTTATTTTAAAAAATCTTCCTGCCTTGGATTATGAGTGGATGGCAAACCAACGTTACCTGGAAATTACTCAGAAACATACAAGCTTCTCTTTATTACACTAGAATCTGAGGCATTCTTTATCTGTTAGCCTCATTTTTTATTGATTTTCTGCTGGCTATTGCTCCAGACACTTCAGTGTTATGATTCTCTATCACTCATGAGTTAGTCTTCAGATACTCCCCATTTCCTTGGATAGATAAAATAACTAAAGCACAGCGAAGGAACTTGAGGGGTTTGAGATCTATGCAAGAAATCCATTTATAACTTGCAGCAGTTTAGAAGGCTTTACGTTTAAAAAAATCTGGCTTTCTTAGATATGTGAGGGTCAAAAATATAACTTAAAAAACCTCTTAAATATAGAAGCCATTACCAAATATTCTGTTCTTCTTGAATAACTAAGCAGAGCACCACAGCGGGCATACTCCATGTGTGCTCTGAGATTCAGGGTCAAGGTAGATGCTCTGCAGACAATAACTGTTAATCATCTCTGGCAGGCTGAGAAAGGAGACGAATTTTAAATACATATGCAAATTAAGGTGGTCACAGAAAGGTTGTGCTGCGTCAGACTCAGAGTGCTCTACCAACGGTTTAAGATGGGGAAGTTTAGCAAATTTCTCATTTTTAGAAAAGCCTATCTTCTGATTTACACAACTGTAAGAAATATAAATTCCTAGAATATCAGACACACAATTAAATATAAATAATAATGATGATAATAGTAATAATAATAGTAAACCATTCTCAAGTAGTGGCTCTTCCCTTAGGCTTTATAGTAGAAATAATGAGAGCTTTTAAAAAAATACACCCTCTTTAACTGCAACCCTGGAGATTCTAATTCACCAGGAGCCCTGGAAGCCCAGGCATAAGAGCTCAAAACTCCCCTTTAAATGGCTCCAACGGCAGCCTCCAAAGTGCTTTAAAGCAAAGGTAAATGATGTTACAAAACCTACAATTTGTATTTATAACATGCCCTACTCTTTTTTAAAAGTGAAATTAAAAATCAGTATTTTAAGAACTGCATAAAACTGCAGAACACCATTTTTAAAGCAATCTATCTATTGGCCCTTAGAACAAATTTCAATTTTCATGAATGACTCTTCTGGATATCACTCAATAGATTCTGTCATGGCAGGACAGCCACCAATCTTAGCAGCAACACTCCCCAGGAGACATCACTTAGCACTTCTAAAGAGTTTTCACTGCAACAGCAACCTCTTTGGGGGAACTTAAAAGATTGTTAGTTAATATCAAGCCTCATTCAAGACAGAGAGGGGAGACGTTCAGCCTACACTTTAACAGAGAGCAGAGTTCTGGCTCCAGAACATTGGCTGCTGGTTCCCTAGACAAATTAGTTATGTTATTAGGATGAATATTAGAGGTAGTAAAAATGAGAGAGCTGACACTCACTGAGAGCTTACTATGTGCCAGGTTCAGTGGTAAGAACTTTATGTGTGCAGTCCTTGGGTTATGTGTTATAACAGCTTTCTTTACATAGCATATATATACATATGTGTGTGTGTGTGTGTGTGTGTGTGTGTGTGTGTGTGTGTGTGTATATATGTATATATACATATATATATATATATATGTGCATGCATGCATATATATGTGTGTATATACATATACACACATACATATTTCCACACACAAACTATGGCTGATTGAAGGTGGGTAGCTGTATAGAAACTGTTTAATTCTAAGAGTCTGTTCAGATCTTTTCAGAGCAAAGCAGTAATAAGCCAAACATACATGAATGCCTGAATCTACAAACAAAAAAGAAGTGGTCATTTAGGTGTTATAGTAATGTAATACTAAACACCCATATATGCGATCAAATCTCTGCAGTGTTTTGAAAGACCACTGAAGTTTCAGGAATGTGCTTACAAAATATGTACTCTTTTTCAGGAAGCTGTTCTGATTAAATGTTAGAGGTAGGCTAGAAAAGGAGATTCTGTTGTCTAGTAACCTTGACAGTCTCTACAGAAATCATAACTGTGAAAATGAAAATCCTAAGTTAAAAGGAATAAAAAATTTAGATTTTCTTTCAACAAAAGCAAACAATGACTAACAAACAGGAGGGGTCAGGTGGGATGTGTTTGAGATTTAGAGGGTAGAGAAAGCTATTAGGAGATAAACTAATTAATTACACAGAAAACTACTTGATGAGAAACTAAGCTGAGCAGAATATGATAAGCATTATTAGGCAAGAGGCATACATACCAGTGTACAAGACAGCCCTCTCCACTGAGTCGGCACTCGTGAATAAACTTAATACTTTCTTTGAAATGTCTTGATCTGGGGGTGGAAAAAAAAGAGAGAAGTGGCATTTCTCTACCCTACACATGATGAAAAGAAAAATCCACCTGAGGTTTCTTAAGGTCTCATAGCTCCACAGCTTCCCATAGGTCACACTACGTAGGGCTGGAGTGGCTTCAGCCTTGGATACATCACACACAACACTGAGGGCAAGGGACAGCCACCCATCTTCTGGGCTTTTCAGAATTTCTCTGCAAGGAATCTCTGAAATACACGATTGCAAGTGACTGGTTGTGGTGGTGGCAGGGTGGTTTCTGCCCAGCCCCATGGTCAGAAATACTCAGCAGCCCACCAGGGACCTCACACCAATAACCTGAACACCAGCTATGGACATTCGTAGCCATTCAAGTGAAGAAGGTGCCCACATCAGGCAAGCTCCCATTGCTTTTCATTGTCTTCTACCTTTGAATGGCCTATAAAAAGCAGCAAATCATTTGAAGTTGCCCATGGACTAAATTCATCTCCCTGTAAGCTCTGATTGAGTACTGACTCTTACCAGGGACTTTGCTAAGCTGCAATAGATTCAGGGATGAAGCAATCTAAGTGCAGGTGCCCAGATAGACTAGAACAGCAGGCAATAGAGGAACTGTATAGGTGCATGCATGCACACACATTCTACGACCAAACGCAGGCATGACGTTGTCATCAGTGGAATGTCTAACCCAAAGATGCCAGACTCTCACCTGAAATATAACTACCAGAGGATTGCAAGACATGCATCTGTTAAATTTCCCAGGGACGAATGGACAAATGCTTGTAAGACATAAACTTGCAAACTGACTCAAGGCATTGCAATTCTATTCCCAAAGATTGGCTTAGTATAAAGCAGTCAA